TCTTATAAAATTAGCCCATTACCTTAGTAAAAATAGCCCATTACTTTAGAAAATTGGCTCATCCCCTTAGTGAATCAGTCCATCACCTTAGAGAGTGGCCCAAACAACTTAGAAAATATCTGAAAGTCTCCAGCACATGGCTAGGGACAAAACCATGACAGACCATCTGAAAAACCAAAAGATATTGGCGTGTGCAGGCTGCTAGGAGTCTCCAGCACATGGCCAAAGACAAACCCAGCACAAACCATCTGAAAAACCAAGGGATACTTGGGTAAAACGCCCTTCAGACCAACACCATTACCCACTTTTTTCTCCTACTAGCTCTTGACATAAAATAAGGGAGGAAAGAAAGAGAGATGGTAGCCCAAAATAGGAGATTGTCATAGGGACAGTTGCGGGAAGGCTCTAGAGCTCCCAAAAATCTTGTCTCTGTGTGTTTGGACTGGAGAGGATTTCACAAAATGAGGATGAATCAAGGGAAGAGAAGAGGAATTGGGGGGGGAGGGGGGACTTGGTAGATTTGGGAAGAACCAGCTAGGATTTCATGGGAAGAAGGAGCTTCCAGCGCTTATAAGACCACCTCCAACCCATGAGGGGCTAAACCCAAATTTTCCCCTTCAAAAGTGACTATTTGGATTTTGCCCGGACTCAAATTGTTTTTTCTCCCAACCCTCCGGACTCAAATTTTAAGTCCGCAACTTTATTAAATTGTTTAAAAATGGTTTAAGTCTATTTTTTTTTTTTATGGAAAACTTTTCTTCATTAATCTTTTTAAATAACGTCATAATTTAATTTTTTGAACAATTTGACCTAAAAAAATTGAAATTCCATAAATTTAATTTTATTCCAAAAGTAAACACACAACATAAAAAAAAACACACAAGATAATTGAAAAAAAACATACAAGTTATATGTATATAAATAAATAAAAAAGCAGCAATTTATATATATTCAAATGTTGCCGTTGGAAGTTATATGTATATAAAATAATAATAAAATAAAAAAGGCAGCAAATTATAACTACATAGGACCGCGACATGTGGCGTAGTAGAAGAAGACAAAAGCAGCAGCAATTCTGGCGATGGGGCCCACGTCAGTTTTTCTCACATGTGGTCTGTTTTCAAATGTAGGTGGGCTCCACAAAAAGTTTTGGGTCCAGGCAATAAGTGGACTGGTATTTGGGTCCAAATTTGGGTCCTTCATTTTCTTGGGTTGGGGGAAGTTTTAGGCAATAATTTGGGTTTAAGTCCTTGGGTTAGAGATGGCCTAAAAAGGGGCATCTCCTACTTCTCAATATACCACATCCAGAGAGAGCAAACATCACCTCTCACCACTGGAACCCTTCAATTTCAAGCTTTGTTCTTCTATTTCTTCCCCCTTTTTCTCTTCTGGCAAACCAACTAAGAGCTTGACGAAGCTTTCGTCAAGTTGCTGAAAATTTGCTAAACCCACCCATTCTTCCACCTTCATTTTTCCCTCTCTTCCCTCAACAAATCCTCCCAAAACTCCCTCTTCGCTTACTTTAAACCTCTGTTTCTCATAGAAAATCCAAGCTCTCTCTCTCTCTCTCTCTCTCTCTCTCTCTCTCTCTCTCTCTCTCTCTCTCTCTCTCTCTCTCTCTCTCTCTCTCTCTCTCTCTCTCTCTCTCTCTCTCTCTCTCTCTCTCTCTCTCTCTCTCTCTCTCTCTCTCTCTCTCTCTCTCTCTCTCTCTCTCTCTCTCTCTCTCTCTCTCTCTCTCTCTCTCTCTCTCTCTCTCTCTCTCTCTCTCTCTCTCTCTCTCTCTCTCTCTCTCTCTCTCTCTCTCTCTCTCTCTCTCTCTCTCTCTCTCTCTCTCTCTCTCTCTCTCTCTCTCTCTCTCTCTCTCTCTCTCTCTCTCTCTCTCTCTCTCTCTCTCTCTCTCTCTCTCTCTCTCTCTCTCTCTCTCTCTCTCTCTCTCTCTCTCTCTCTCTCTCTCTCTCTCTCTCTCTCTCTCTCTCTCTCTCTCTCTCTCTCTCTCTCTCTCTCTCTCTCTCTCTCTCTCTCTCTCTCTCTCTCTCTCTCTCTCTCTCTCTCTCTCTCTCTCTCTCTCTCTCTCTCTCTCTCTCTCTCTCTCTCTCTCTCTCATGCCAAACTCATGAATGTTTAGCTTCCATGCTACAAGCTTTTCAAACCAAGCAAAAATATTTACCTGTAAGCAACTGTTGGTTTTGTTGGTGAATGAGACCAAGGTGTTTCCTAAGGCTCCACAACTGTTGCTTTGATTCAGTTGCACCAAAATGGATTCAGTTGCATCCTCAACTTGTGATACTCGCAAGTGCACGAGCCGTTTGGTAGT